TTCTGTAAGGGGAAGAGGAATTCCCTTTTTTATTGTTGTTTGGTGGGCCCGGGCTGGATTCGAACCTGCCACCTTAGGTGTATGTGGCTGGCGCCTTAGCCACTTGAGCCATAGGCGCCGAGCCGCACTTGACTAGTCTTTAAAGCAAAGCAAAGCAAAACCTCAGTGACAGTAGCAGCAACTTTTCTGACCTCAGGTTGTCATCTACAGTGATGTGTCTTGAGTTCATTCATCCACCCAATGCTAGGCCTGACTCACACACACAGACCTTCCAATCATTGTGTACACACACAATTCCCTTTATAAAATGCTTAGAGTAGTTTCTGTTTTCTACAAAGAACCAGCAGTGATCTGCCCTTCTTCACATTTTTTTTCCTCCTCAACTATCGGGTGTCTCCTTTTCCTCATACTCCCTTGATTGCTTCTTTTCAGTCTCCTGCTATGGGTCTTTTTCTGTTTCATGTAGGCATTTCCCAACAGAAGATTTGCAAAGAAACTGATGAAGCTTAAACTTTAGGGACTCCTTTGCAGGGGCCCTTTCCAGAACCAGGAGGGGGTGCTATTCACTTAGGCATATACTTTTGTAAAATTTGCAAATTAAGATTTTTTTTTTTTTTTGCAGTTTTTGGCCAGGGCTGGATTTGAACTTGCCACCTCTGGCATATGGGGCCAGTGTCTTACTCCTTTGAGCCACAGGTGCCGCCCGCAAATTAAGATTTTAACTGCAATTGGTAAAGATTATTATCTAGTTTCATTCAATCTCCCTTGTCATGGCTTCTTCATGTGACATTGCATCTATTTGATGGTCCCAGGCATTTTATTATTTGGCTACAAGGAATTAAGTTGGAGCTACATTGAATTGGTCTTAATGGGACCACTTGCATGTATAGATAAGGCTAGTAATCTTAGTATAAGAATGGCTTGCAGGCTCGGCACCTGTAGCTCAGTGGCTAGGGCACCAGTCACATACACCAGGGCTGGAGGGTTCAAACCTGGCCTGGGCTAAACAACAATGACAACTACAACAACAACATCAAGCCGGACATTGTGGTGGGCGCTTGCAGTCCCAGCTACTTGGGAGGCTGAGGCAAGAGAATCGCTTAAGCCCTAGAGTTTGAGGTTGCAGTAAGCTGTGATGCCACAGCACTCTACCCAGTGCAACAGCTTGAGGCTCTCTTTCAAAAAAAAAAAAAAAAAAAAGAACAAGAATTGAGAGTAATTCAGTCTCTCATGGGCACCCACCACAACACCCGGCTATTTTTTGGTTGCAACCATCATTGTTGTTTGGTGGGCTCAGGCTGGATTCGAACCTACCAGCTCAGGTGTATGTGGCTGGCGCCTTAGCTGCTTGAGCCACAGGCACTGAGCATACTCTTCTTAATTCTTGATGTATCTGTCAACTTTTAAAAATCCTTAATTTGTTGTGATTTATTCTCTTGCTCTAAAAAATATTTATTTAGAATGAGAATTTATACCTAATTTTATATATTTTTAAAAAATTTTTAGGCCAGATGAGGTGGTTCACGTCTATAATCCTAGCACTGTGGAAGGCCAAGGCAGGTGGATGGCTTGAGCTCAGGAGTTCGAGACGAGCCTGAGCAAGAGTGAGACCCCACCTAAAAATAGCAAGCATAGTGGTAGGCACCTGTAGTCCCAGCTACTGGGGAGGCTGAGGTGGAGGATCTCTAGAGCCCAAGAATGTGAAGTTGCTGTGAGCTGTTACGATGCCACAGCATCATGTATAGATAAGGTATGGCTACTCAGGGCAACACAATAGGACTCTGTCTCAAAAAAAATTTTTTTTTTTTTTTGTTGCAATTTTTGGCCGGGACCAGGTTTGAACCTATCACCTCCGGTATTTGGGGCCAGCGCCTTACTCCTTTGAGCCACAGGCACTACCCTCAAAAAAAATTTTTTAGGATGGCATCTGTGGCTCAAAAGGGTAGAGTGCCGGTCCCATAAGCCAGAGGTGGTGGGTTCAAACCCAGCCCTGGCCAAAAACAAACAAACAAACAAAAAATTTAAATTGACATATAATAGATGTACGTGTTTTTGGAGTATATATGATATTTTGATACATTCATCCAAGATGTAAAGATAAAATCAGGGTAATTGGAATATCTATCACCTTAAATATTTATCTCACCTAGCTATTTTGAAATGTGCAATAGATTATTGTTAACTATAGTTACCCGACTGATAGGTCTTGTTTCTTCATCTAGTAATAAATTGTATCCTAATTATGTTCCCCTTTTCTTGCAGAGGGGTCCCAGATTTGAGCTTCTGCCCTAGACATTCCTAAGGTTCCACTGTTAGGTCTCCTCTTTTCTTTTGTACTTTTCTGAAGCAGTGCCCTTGTGACACAGGGAGAAGGGAGGCTAAGTCCTCCTCCCTACCCTGACCTCATTCCTCAAGTCCAGATCTAACTTTTTTTTTCTTTTTGGAGACAGAGTTTCACTTTGTCGCTCCCAGTAGAGTACAGTGGCATCATAACTCACTGCAGCCTTATAGACTCTTGGGCTCAAGTGATTCACATCTTGCCTCAGCTTCCCTCATAGCTGGGACTACTGGTGAATACCACAACACTGGTTATTTGTGGAGACGGGTACAGCTCTTGCTCAAGCTACTCTCTGTGAGCTCATGCAATCCACTCGCCTCAGCCTCCCAGAGCGCTAGGATTACAGGCGTGAACCACCACACTCGGACCAGATCTATCATTTATTTTTTTATTTCATTTTATTTTTTGAGACAGAGTCTTACTATGTCGCCCTCAGTAAAATACCAGCTCATAGCAACCTCAAACTGTTGGGCATAAGTGAGTCTCTTGCCTCAGCCTCCCAAGTAGCTGGCCCACCACAACGCCCAGCTATTTTTTGTTACAGTCGTCATTGTCGTTTAGCTTGCCCAGGCCGGGCTCAAACATGCCAGCCTCAGTGTCTGTGGCTGGTGTCATAACCACTGTGCACCAGCGCCAAGCCATCAGATCTACAAGTTACCTGTTTTGATTTCCACCAAGATCAACCAGCAGTATATTCAAATACAAAATGTAAACATTTAGGTTTTTCTCTGCTGTTCACCACCAATCAGCAATTCTTCCCTATTTCGATAAACAGTCATGCTGTCTTTTCTTGTTCCTATTGCTACTACAAAATATAGCCTTAAACTGGGTGATTATAAATTCATGCATTTAAAATGTGCAATTCTTTGGCCCTGAATCAAGACCAGTGGTTTGCTTTTGTAGCTGTTGGTTTCTAATAGGAGCCAAGAGTGATGTCTTCCTTGAGGTCTGTTGGCTATTTGATATCCCCATGTGAATGGCCAATTTGGTTAGAAGAAACAGTCTAGATTATAATATTTTTTAAACAGAGTAATTGAACTTTGTTATATTTAAGAATCAGGGGTTCGGGAGATTAAAAGAAGTCAACTGCACCTCTCCTTACCATTGCTGGCTTTACCTCCCCCAGGTCCTGCTGAAATAATGTCAGACTCAAATCATGGTAGCAGCCAGAAGAATTTCTCTGAGGAGGACATAGATGATGAAGAAAGTGTGATTTTGACATTGGTTCCAGTTAAAGATGATTCAAATAATGAACAAAGGGAACCAACTGTTTCTTCAACTTCTGATGTTAAACTGAACAATCCCCAGAAACACAATGAAGATATAAAGACAGGGACTGCCTCGGTGAGCCAGGCCTACAACTCTGAGAAGTTCAGGAAAATTCATCTACCTCCAACAAGTAAGCAATCAAAAGCCATCTGAAAAGCTAGATGTAAAAAGCCTGATCTTCCCTTGCCAACCATTTTGCTTCCCATTAATGATGTGTGTCGAGACGCTCTGCAGAACTGGTGCCAGCAACTCAAGTTGAGTACTGATGGCAAGAAAACAAAAGTTTTTCTGAGGCTTCAGGAGCATGCCTTTCCTGAACAGAAATGTGTAAATCCTGAAACGCCAAAGGAGGCCAGAATACAATCATGTTCAAGGAAACGCAAGGCAGAGACCAAGACAGCAAGACCTCAGGAAAGGTCCAAGATGAGTGTGAAAACGGAAGAGCTCAAAAGAGCAGAAGTGATAACGTCAGCTCAGGAATCTGCGTTGGCACCGTGGGCAAGGATTGCTGCAAAAGCTGGTCAGTGTAAGACTGTGAATTCACGGTCCATTCCTGCTTCTGCTGAGGCCTTTTTGACAACAGCTTCTGGCCTCAGCTGGTGTGTGATCCTTGGTGAGGCTCTCCCCGAAGACACAGAGGGCTGGGGCTACCTACAGTTTCATGCAGGTCAGGTCTGGGTGCCTGCCACTCCCAGAAGGATGTTCTCCCTCTTCCTGTTACCAGCCTGCATTTTCCCATCTCCAGGCCTAAAAGATAATATGTTATGTCCTGACCGTGCTAAGAGAAATACGAAGATAATGAAAAGATTAATGATAGCAAAGAGGAAGAAGCAATCTAGTCCAAACACAAAGTAGGAGACCAGAATATGCCACCTCAAAGTATTAGAGAGTGATGGATATACTTTCAGAATGTGTAAGCTGATTTGAGGAAATGGAAGAAGAGATCACTGGAAGGAACCTTTGTGATCTACAAAACAGAATCGAGTAATTAGGACTCCACCGTGAAGATGGTTGACTGGGTGCCAGCCCTGTCTAAGGAGACCCTTTGGGAGGCTTGGAAAGCCACTAAAATAAAGTCATTGCAGTCGGGGGTAGGGGGTGGGAGGTGTGGAATAGGTGGCTCCTGTGGCTCAAAGGAGTAGGGTGATGAGTTTGAACTTGAACCCGCCAAACTGCAACAAAAAAATAGCCGGGTGTTGTGGCAGGCACCTGAAGTCCCAGCTACTCTGGAAGCTGAGGCAAGAGAATCACCTAAGCTCAAGAGTTGGAGGCTGCTGTGAGCTGTGATGCCACAGCACTCTACCAAGGGCCACAAAGTGAGACTCTGTCTCTAAAAAAAAAAAGAAAGAAAGAAAGAAAGAGAGAATCAGGGGCTCGGCTCAGCGCCTGTAGCTCAGCGGCTAGGGCACCAGTCACATACACTGGAGTTGGCAGGTTTGAATCCACCCCAGGCCTGCCAAACAAGTACAACCAAAAAAAGTAGCCAGGTATTGTGGCAGGCACCTGTAGTCCCAGCTACTTGGAAGGCTGAGGCAAGAGAATTGCTCTAAGCTAAGAGTTTGAGGTTGCTGTGAGCTATGATGCCATAGCACTCTATTCAGGGTGAGATAGTGAGACTCCCTCTCAAAAAAAAACAAAAACAAAAACAAACAAAAAAAAACTATCAGGGGTTTACTCTGTGGGGGCAGGAACTAACCAAAATACTTCCTAGCCTTTGAGAAGACCTTTGAGTTTTCTGTCCTCCATCCCTTCTTCCCACTTCTTCTCTTTTCCTCTTCAATTGATCTCAGCCAAAAGGCTGAGAAGCAATCAAAAATCTATTTTTACTAAACTAAATTAAAATAAAATAGAGTGTGCAATTCTGTAGTTTTTAGTATATTCACAAGTTGTTCAACCTTCACTACTAATTTCAGAATCTTTTCATCATCCTCCAAGGAAACCCTATACTCCCGTACTCCTTAGTAGCTTTTTTTTCTTTTGGTGGACTTTCCCTCTGGTGCCCCAGGCTAGAGTGCTATGGCCTCAGCCTGGCTGACTGTAACCTCAAACTCCTGGGCTCAAGTCATCCTCCTGCCTCAGCCTCCCAGGTAGCTGGGGCTGCAAGTGCCTGCCACAACGCTTGACTAATTTTTCTATTTTTAGTAGAGATGAGGTCTTGAACTCCAGAGCTCAAGAAATCCTCCCGCCTCAGCCTCCCAGATTGCTGGGATTACAGGCGTGAGCCACAACCTCTAGCCCGTCAGTAGTTACCCTTTAATCTTTTCTCTTCCCAGCCCCTGGAAACCACTAACTTACTATCTCTATGGTTTTGCCTATTTTGGACATTTCCTAAGAATGGAATCATATAGAATATGGTCTCTTCTTTTACTTAACATAATATTATATTTCAAGGTTCATTTCTGTTGCAGCATGTATCAGTACTGTCTTTCTCTGAATGAATAATATTCTACTACATGGATATACCTCCCATATTTTGCCTGTCCACTTAGTAGTTTACGGATATTTGAGTTGTGTACACTTTTTGGCTTTATGAACAATACTATTATGAATACTCATGTACATGATTTTTTTTTTAATATATATTTTTTTGAGATTTTTTTTTTTTTGAGACAGAGTCTTAAGCTGTCCCCCTGGGTAGAGTGCCGTAGCGGCACAGCTCACAGCAACCTCAAACTCTTAGACTCAACCAATTCTCTTGCCTCAGCTTCCCAAGTAGCTGGGACTACAGGCACCCACCACAATGCCCAGCTATTTTTTTTTTTTTTTGGAGACAGAGCCTCAAGCTGTTGTCCTGGGTAGAGTGCTATGGTGTCACAGCTCACTGCAATCTCCAACTCCTGGGCTTAAGCAATTCTCTTGCCTCAGCCTCCCAAGGAGCAGGGGCTACAGGCGCCTGCCACAACACCCAGCTATTTTTTGGTTGTAGTTGTCATTGTTGTATGGCAGGCCTGGGCTGGATTTGAACCTGCCAGCTTTTGGTGGCTGGCGCCTTAGCCACTTGAGCTACAGGCGCTGAGCCCATGTACATGTTTTTATGTGAATATGTTTCCAATTCTCTTGAGTAACTACATAAGGGTAGGATTAAGGGTCATATGGTAATTCTCTTTTGCTTTTTTAGTAGGCAATATTTTTGAAATGACAATACTTTGGAAATGGAGGATAGATTAGTGGTTGCCAGTAGTTGGGAATGGAAAGAAAGTGAGTGTGTATACAAAATGGCAATGTGAAGGATCCTTGTGATACTGGAACTGTTCAGTAGCTTGAGTATATGGAACTTTATATACAAACATACAAATGAGTACAAGTGAAACTCGGGCAATCAGGGTAGATTGCATCCATGTCAAGATATAAACTGTTACATTGTATTATACTTCTGTAAAATTTTACCATTGGGAGAGACTGTGCAAAGTGCACAAGGGTTCTCTCTGTACTATTTCTTGTAATTGGAAATAAATCTATAAATCTCAATTAAAAACTTCAATTAGGCTCTATGCCTGTAGCACAGTGGTTAGGGGGCCGGCCACATACACCAAGGCTGAGGTTGCTGTGAGCTGAAGATGGTGACATAGTGAGACTCTATCTCAAAAAAAAAACAAACCAAAACAAACAAACAAAAAACTTCAATTAGAAGGCTGGGCATGGTGGCTCACACCTATAATCCTAGCACTCTGGGAGGCCGAGGTGAGTGGCCTCACCTGAGTTTATGAGTTCCAGATCAGCCTGAGCCAGAGTGAGACCCAATCTCTAAAAATAGCTGGGTGTTGTGGCAGGTGCTTATGATCCCAGCTACTTGGGAGCATGTGCCCTGGAGCATGTGCCTCAGCTCACAGCAACCTCAAACTCTTCACATTTGCTCTATGAAAACACAGTCATTTTCCCTTACAAATAAAAGTTTCTGGCTCAGCACTTGTGGCTCAAGTGGCTAAGGCGCCAGCCACATACATCTAAGGTGGTGGGTTCGAATCCAGCCCGGGCCCGCCAAACAACGATGGCTGCAACCAAAAAAAAAAATAGCCGGGCGCTGTGGTGGGCGCCCGTGGTCCCAGCTACTTGGGAGGCAGAGGCAAGAGACTCGCTTGAGCCCAGGAGTTGGAGGTTGCTGTGAGCTGTGATGCCACAGCACTCTACCCAGGGGAATAGCTTGAGGATCTGTCTCAAAAAAAAAAACAACAAAAAAAAAACAAATAAAAGTTTCCATGAAAATCAGTCCAAAAAAGAACTGGCAAAACACATTACATTTATCTTAGATTTAAGATACTAGAACTTAAACATACTATGGGTTACACTTTTTTTCATTCATTTTTATTATGACTGCTGCCCACCTAGTGCTACTATATCACAGTCTTAGGTTAATATCATATTGCCTACATTAGATAAAACAATCACCAACTGAATAGGTTAATATTTATGCCTTCTATATCTGGCTTTCTCCAAATATAGATCTCTTGCACCTGTTTCTCCATTATTGGGCAGAAAAACATGATAATTATTTTTGTACATGGTAGGTCCCACAAAGAGATAAAGTTAATTACAACAGAATATTTCAAATGCATGCATTGAAGAAAAAAACTGTCTTATCAAGACAACTGTGTTCTTCTGACACTAAATAATAGGTTAGTGGAAAGGGAAAAGATGATTCATGCTGAAGCTCTACTGAAACAACTAAAAATTTTTTTTTTTAATTATTATAGTTGTCCTTGTTTAGCAGACCCAGGCCGGGCTTGAACCTGTCAGC